TGAAACAAAGAGCTGCTGGATAGTTCATCACTAACTTCTGCTGGGCGAAAGAACTGGAGTCCAGGGGCTGGGGTTCCTTTAGTTATTACCAGGAAAAAAGGCTCAAGCCAAACTTTTAATCTCTCTATGTTTTGAGAGGCATCTTGAGAAGCCTGGAGCTTTGTGGCATTTGCCTGTTCAGAATTGTTTCAGAGAAATAAAACCTTTGCAGCCAGAAGCTTTAAGATGCTTACAAAATGCAAGATTTTGATGTGATTCTATTTCAAGTTGACAGAAAAATGAACTTGATTTTTCCTGGCTGTTCAGCACTTGCTTCATCTACACTGGTTGGAGTATGCACAGGTAGGGCTGAATGAATCACTGGAGACAAAAAGTCATGTCCACCTCGCAAACGTTTACGTTATTTTAGAGGTGATCACCTGACCAGAGAATGAAATTTGACATGTGAACAAAAGTATTTGGGTGACAGTTGGCTATTAGAATGGAAAATATAGTGCTTGATGCATCTTGGAAAGTAGTAATAGCCTATTTAGAAAATAAGATTGGAGGAAGAACAGTCTGTTTAGTAACTAGCTATATTATGAAAATATGCCTGCAATGCAAATGCATGGGGGGAAGGCTGTTGCTCCTTGTCTGCCCTGAGCTTTTTGTTTGCTTCGGTGAATTGTTGCTCTGTGTGATGCATCTTCCCAGGTTAGTTTTCCTTGTGAAGGGACTTGCTTTTTTACAGCTACTTACCCTGAGCAAACTGCAAAAGAAAGAAGCTTTTCTGGCTTTTGTAATATGACTTGTTAGCATAGCCCATGATACTGTGTCTCAGTTACTTGTCTCTATAGGCTTTGTTGGATGGTCGGTCTGTTCTGCAGCTGTTGAGTCCAGGCCAGTTCTTAAGAAAACATTGCATATTGACACAAAGCACCATGGACACTTTTAATTAGCCCAGGAGAACAAAATAGCTCCAGTGCAAGCCTAGTAGCCTAATGAGATATTTGCTTCCATGGGTTTTTTTTGTCACTAATTCCAATGGATTTGTCAGTATGAGACCAGGGAGTTTAGCGATGCTTGAAAATTCCTATCTATGGGAAGGAAAGCAAAAAGCAGTCAGAAATACCCGGGTTTGTGGAAGATGGAAATGTTGTCTTTCTTGCTTGCAAGGGAAAGGTGGCTGTGTGTGTGTCCCAGGTCTTGCCCAGTGCTTACCTAGATAAATTTCTCTTGCTTGAATGTGAACACAACCTTGTTCCCAGTGGCTTGAAATAGAGTTGATTTGGAAGGCTGTAGCTGTTCTGATTCATGTTCTGGAATGAATTCTGTAGTCCAATATTTTATGCCTGTCACATGTTCAGTGTTTGTTCTTACATATTCATTGGGCAAATTTCTTTATCTGACAAATGTTTTTCCCATTAATTGTCCTGCAGATGGCTGTGGAGCTCACCCAGATCTGACTGAATTGTATTGGTTTGTTTGGTAGCTGTTCCTGTAGGTTCTCAGTGTAGTTTCCAACCCATAACACTGAGGTTGTTTCTTATATATAGTAATCTGGTTGACAAATTGTTCCTTCTTTTTAATTCTTCAGAACAAAGTGAAGGCTTCTAAAGAAATGAGCCTTTTTCTCAATAAACTGATGATCAGAGCTCCAGGGTTTTACGGCAGCAGGCTGGATCCAGTTCCTATTGGCTCGGGGTGTTTGCTGCTGGTGCTTCTGGGAGTGCTGTTTGGTTTCTGTGGCCTGTTGCTGTTTCAGGGTTATACCTCTCTTGTGGTGTCAGAATGGCAAATCTCCAAGAAACAATGACCCAAAAAAGCAAAAGTGATGCTGTGGTGCACAGTGCTCACGTGATCCTTAAATAGATAAACAGGAGGGTGTGAAATTGAGGATTTTACTAGTGTGTGATGCTATCCGTGAGACAGAATCTTTTTCCCTCTCAAGTCTGTCTTCTACGTTTTCAGAAGGTTGCCAGAAAAAATTCAGAGAACGGGGTAGGGCACAAAACCTGGTGACTTTCAGCTAAGTCTATTACAGTTTCTTGAACAAGATTTTCTTGTATGTTAGTGGAAAGAGGTAATGCCAGTAATGTTTGTTTTTTGGTGGTTTGTTATTTGTTTTTTGGTTTTTGTTCTTTTAAAAAGGCGAAAAACTGTTTAAGTGTTTATAGTGGTTTTGGAACTGAAGTACAATTCCTGTACTAATATATGTGGTTTTGTTTCCAATTTTAAGATGATGATTAGCAGATCATTATGTTTGTCACATGTAAAAATGTGTTTATTCAACTAATGTGTAATTGCATGATTCTCAAATAGCTGATTTGGTGTGTTGCAAGTAATTTGCCATTTAAAAAATATTTAACTTGTACTGAAGGAGCACAAGTTGCTCTGTGGCACTTCTTTTTAAAAAGCGGGATGGTAGTGTCAATGGGACATGGGATGCAAATTGAAACTAGTTCAGAGTTGAATTACTCATCTCAAAGTAGCATTTATGTAGCGTACTATAGATTCTTGGTAAACCAATAAAGTGCTTTTTGGGGGGTTTCCTTGCCTAATAGAGTATTGAGAAGAAAATGCTATGAGGTAGAAGCCATTCATAACTATTTACATAATTCTACGAAGATCAGCACAGGAATAAAAAAGAATAAAGCAGCAATCTCTTTTTATTAAAATGGATTAAACTATTGAAGAGATATATCTCTTCAACTTGGTGTCCTGTAAAACTCTTAAATAATATTCAGAGATAGTTCCAAGCTGACGTTTGACATTGTTTTCATCTTTTGAACATTAGATAATGGAACCACAACCACACAGTATAGTTCCGTAGAATAGAGATTGTCCCCGCTGTTGTTTTTTCATTAATGCGGTCAGAAGAATAAATTACAGAAAACAAGCTGTGAAGTTATTTTTCTTGGATTTCAGTATTAAGTAGCCCAAGACTGGATTTTCTTGTCTGTCGTAATTGCAAATGTATTACTGCTTAAGCAATTAATAGTTATTTTTAGAAAATGGATTTGGGTTTGCTAACTAAAATAAAGCTGCCTCTCAAAATACCTATTTTCATATAAATTACCCTCAAAATCAGATTTCTGCAAGCATATTATAGAACTTTTTCATTGTTTTTGTTTTGAAAATACACTTTTAGAGGGATGTGGGACAGCAAGCCTGTTTTTTCTTACGTATAGTGGATCACATCAGGCAGGGTGTTCCTGCGCCCCCATCCTCATTCCTTCAGGCTGTTTAGTGAATTGTCTGCCCCTCTGGTGCATTGCAGTTGTAGCCTTCCCACTGTCTACAGCAAGTTGTCTTTGTTACTGAAAGGCAAAGTCAGATTAAAATACTTGCCCCTGTGCACACCTTCGCATAGTTTCCTCTTCAGAAAAAGCCAACCTACTTCACTCAAGTGAAGTAATTCTGCAGTCACCTGTGTGACTTGGAAAGTGCACTAGGGCATGATTTCAACATTTCAGTTTCTTCTTGGCATCCTCTTTACTTTAAGCGTCAGTGATTTCTATAATCCATCCACACGCTGTTGCAAGAGCATTATTATGCACATGCAAACGGCATGAGTAAAAAAAGAATTTTTTCAGGTGAAAAATGGGACATGTTTTATGGAGAAAAGTTCAGTAATAAAATGCACAGGTGAGATATTAGGTGTGTCATTAACTATACACAGGAAAGGTGTATTGAAAGATGTCTTCCATTTTATTTCAGTTTTTAATGTGTATGTGAATTTATTCTGGGTGTTACTGAAGAAATGTCAAGCAATATGGTCTTTTCTCTTTGTGATCAATCCAAGTTTGTGATATACTCTGAGCAAGAAATTGTAGTTACTCATTTTCCTGCAAAACTTTTTTTTTTTTTGTCCAGTCTCAGTATTGGTATATTTCCTTTTGCCTGCCTGGTCACTAATAATTGGGTAGTATACTGGTGTTTGGCTCTATTTATATAGGCTAAATCATTCAGTTTGGTTTCTGAAACTGCTTCCTTAGGAACACTCCTGGTTGCAGTGTAAGTGCAGTCTAAACACATGTGGTGGATAAGCATTTTGCCTTTTGAGAGCAACTGGCTAGGATTTGGCTTTTCTACAAGTCTTTTAGCGGGTTCTTTCTCCCCAGAGCAATGGCCTTGGGCACCATGGTGACAGCAGTCAAGTGGCAAAGAAGCTGTTGTCCTGTTATCAAGTTTTAATAAGACTTCTTCTGAAATCCTGTTTTTCATGCTTCCCTCCATCCCATCCCCCTGCTTTTTTTGTTGTTTTATGTCTCTTGGCATCGAGTGAACTATATTCATGAACCTATTTGAAAAACATTGGTCATTAGTAATTAACAATACAGTTCATTCCTTAATGTTCGTTGTTGACAGAACACACCTATTGCCTTGGAAACACTATTAATGAGAGTTGAATGAAATATAGAACTAGATATTAAGTATCTTTTTTTAAAAAAAAAAAAGTTTAATGAATTTTAGCTTGGACAGCTGTGTTCTTTTCTCATTTTCTGTGCCTTCTAATTCAAGCGTGAAAGGAATAAAAAAATAATTTCTTAAAAATTAAGATGCGTGTTTTGAAAAAAAAATACAAAGAATGTGTATTGTGATTAAAGATTTTTATATATATACATCCACACAGGCGTGCGCATCACTTCGAAAGAGTTGTTCGTATTCAGTTTACACCACGTGCTCGTGGAAACCATGTCGTTTGCTCAAAAGGAAACAAATTTAGTTCATTTTTCATATGAAAATGTTTGAGCTGCTAGAGGAAGGTGCAGGGGTGTGCGCAGAGCGGCCATTGGCGAGCCCTGCCCGAGCCCTGCCTCTGCGGCTGCTGGGCAGCGGTGCCCACGCACGGGGCTGTTGGGCTGCCACCCTGCCAGCAAGAAACAGCTTTTGCTCGCTGGTTAGAGCACGCAGAGAGGAACTTTAAGGAATGTATTTTTTTTAATTTTTATTTTCCTTGGGAGCCACTGTGTACACTTAGCTGAATACATTAATTTAATAATACTGTCTCTCTGCAGAGTTCATCCCAGGAAGCGAGATTCAAGCTTATGGAAAAGAGCTAGAGCCTTGCAAAATAATAATTTAAAAAAAAAAAAAACCACGCCAAAAACTCCTAGCTGCACAAATACAAGTTGATCTAGAGACCCATGCAGAGAGCTGATGATGAATTGCCTGCGGTTTTGGGGAGGCTAAGTCTTTTCTTTCGCTTGCATTGGGAATCTGAAGTTAATGCTCATGAGAAGTAAAATCAGAGGACGTGGGTTACTTGATGTGCCTGAAGATTGCAGAGGCAGCAGCGAAAGGACAAAACTTCTCTTTGAAGCAGTAGCTTCAGCTGTGTCTTATTGTGTGCACTGGGAGCTGAGAGAAATAGCAGCCAACCTGGAAGAAAATGCCAGCTAAAGGTAAATACTTTTTCAATGAAAACGATGACTGCAGGATATCAGACCCGCTCTATGAGAAGTACTGCTACACAAGCCAGCAGCATCCACTCCTGCTATTGCTGCTCTTCATTTCAACCATCTTCTGGACTACTCTAATAATAATCTTTTTTGTCACTGATGTGAGTATACTTTTTTTTCTTTGTGTTCAATGTTTTTAAAGATGATAAGGGATCACTATAACAGCACACACAACCTTTCAGGCTAAATTTTTTGACCCACATGGTATCAAAGTTGTAATGTTGAAAGAAATCAAGTAATTGTTTATATAATGCTGTGTATGTTTTTGAAGGGACAGGGAAGAGAGGAGACAGTGTTGTTAGGTACATGAACAGTTACTATAAAGACTGTTCATTCCTTCCTATATATTATGAACAGATCATAGTTTAAGAGATAGTTATGAGAGTAAGTAAGTAATAAAGGGGCCAAGAAAGGAACCTGAACATATGTTAAAATGTCCTGCATTTCTCACATTTTCATTTTAGAATAATCTAAGAAATGTAAAATAATACAGTGATTCAATTGTTATGAATTCCTGAGGTGATATTTTTTTTTCCAAGGGTATGTAAATATTCATTCCTAATTTTTTTTTTTGGTAGTAAAACCACATCAGGAGTCACTCAGTATAACAGGTGATCGGTTCTATCAGTAGTGAGTTAGCAAAGAACAGGGATCCTTTAGGCATAGAAAAGATGCAGCTTAAATAATGTTTTTGTTGTGTAGCATAATATGATTTTCTGTAAAGAAATTAGGTGTTCTTCGAGCCAGCCCAGTTGACAGCTGGTAAAAAAGGGGAGTTGATTTAAAGATGTTGTAAACAGGTAATAAGGAAGCTGTTATAATCCTTCATTGCCTTCTGACATGCCTTCTAAATACTTTGCTTCATGATAAAGTGTCTTTAAGTGTCTCTTTAGCAACAGATTTAATCTGAACCAATTGCACTGCTATGCCTTCTAGCTTTTATTTCTTAAAAAAAAATAAAAGTAGCACCACTATTTGCATGTTACAAGTCATCTCCTGTAAAATTGAGGAAAAGAGTTGTTACGCTCCTTTTTAGCAAAGCTTGAGCTCCTTAAATGCATTTCTTTGGGTATATCTGCATCGTATAATATAGTACAGTTAGAACTTAGCTTAAAAGACAAAAGCAAACCCACTCATTTGGGAAATAATAATGGTGGAACTGAGGTAGACTGGGTATCTATAATAGTATTTATTTTACTATCTTTGTGAATATCAGAAAGTGTAAATGCTGCTACAGTTAGACTACTTAGGAACTCAGGTTAGCATGTTTTAAAGGTGTCTGAGCTGCTTCCAGGATAGTATAGATGCATTTTCCATTTTTTCTAAAGGGGACACTTAGGCCAAATATAACACTTTGTTTTGCTTTTGCAGGACGCGCGTTCTCATCTTGCCTTCAGTATTGCTGTGTGTGCTGCTCTTGTCATATTTGCAGTCATGTATTTACTTCTATGTATTGAATCCCTATTTCGGAGATGGATAATGTTATTTGGAGTTACGATTTGGATTTGCTTCCTAATTGTAGCATATGTGTCTCTTTTTGAAGAGAGAGGTGTTCATCACCTGTGGGAACAGGTATGTATATCTTGGTCATTCAGGTACTTACATAGAACTGGTGGTCAGTATATAGGAATGTGTCTGCGCGCTTTATTTTTTCTGAATGTTATAACTGAATAATAATTTTTTCTTGAGATTTAGGTTCATTTTTCCTAAATTGGTTTATTATAGTCTATTTTAGTTTGTATTCTTTATTATAGGAAAATATAGTTCAGCTGAGAAAATTGGATAACTGCATAAATTTATGCAGGAATCGCATCTTTAAGTTGTAATTGAATTGTATTTCTATTTAAGATTTTTACTAAATCTTAATTACTATGAATTAATTTTTAAGAGAATTTTTCAGTAGTAATACTTGCTTTTCTAATTTCTATGGGTCAAAGTGGTGTTCAAGAAATGTCTAAAGGACTCTGGAGCTGGGCGTGCCCCAGGGAGCATATTTTCAAATCAGTGGGAGAGGTGAAGTGAACAATAAGAATTAATGACACATCCTGGCATAACTGGGTGTGGCTAAAGTTCATTGCTCAGTATCTCTGATCAGAAGACGGGCGATTTCATGATGCCAAAAATATCATAATCTGTAGGAAACTCCTCCTAGGCTCTCCTAATGTAAACAGAAGAGTTTTTAATGAAATAAAAATGACTTTTTATCTTGTTTTACTGACTCTTCCCCTTCCCCTCTTTATTTCAAATAAAGATAGATTTAAATTATTAGTTAAACAGCCAAAATCTGATTTGTATTATGGCCTGGATCCAGCACTGTGTATTTACAGTTGCTATTCAGTTCTTTCTAACTAAGGAAGAAGCTATTACCCTAGGAAAAAAAAGAAAATTTATTGTTCTTAACTATAAGTACAAACATGCAACAAAGCAAGATTTGGTTTTGCTGCTTTCAGTGCTGTAAGCCAATGTCTTGTGGTGTTGTAATAATTAATTAATGTTGATTCAAAGCTTAAAATATAAGGAGACCCTAGAGTAGGAAGTAGAAGTGAATAGGTTAATTTCAGACTTTTATCTCAAGTTCTGAATTTATCAGTAATTAAAGCTGTTATTTAAATGCAGGTATGATCTTTGCTTGTTCATGCTTATAAAACCATTACACAGCATTCAGAACATTGTGTTGCAGGGGTTGTACATACAGCAGGAAAAAGATTTTTTTTTTTTTTTTAAACTAAAATAGTAAAGGTGAACATAAAAAGATTACTTTTGTTGAATGAAAACTTTTATTTGCTTGCTTGTTTGTTTATTGTTGTCCCAGCCAAGCTATCTATTCTGGCAAAACTTTTAAGTGCAGAGTGGATCTTGAGACTTCCTTGAAGGAAGCTCATGTCTGGAACGGCACAAGATGAGTTGCAGGGATGAGGCGGAGCTGAACCAGGAGCACCGCAATATTCTCCTCTCAGCAGGGTTGTTAGTTTCCATATATATATATGAGCTAATGCTTTAACAAATCCTTAACTATCGATTTAGGTTTTGTAGACCTTCCTTCTGATCCCCAGCAGTTTAGTGGGCCAGTGTGCATTTTGTAAAAATCTGTGCAGCTAAACACGTAGTTAATGGCAATAATAATTACTCTCTTGTGTCAGCACCAGCATTGTTTGGATTTCTGGTATTTATCAAATATGGACTAAACATACACATGTGATCAGGTGATGTTAAAATTAGAATAATAGCTTGGAAAAGGTGAGAAATCTGATTGTATTCAATATTGCTATCCTTGCAACATGCACTTTGTACATCACTTCTCAGGAACAGTATCTTCAGCCGTAATAGATAAATTAAGAATAAAGGGCAAGGACAACTGAAAAACTTAAAGGTCGTATGTCACGTTAAATTATGAATCTATAGGTGCTAATTCTCTCAAAGCTCTTAGGAATACCACTGTCCTTATGTTTTTAATTGTGCTTTTGAAACATCAGTAGTTAATTGTTCAGCCTGAAAACGAGCAAGAATCCTGCTGCTTTCCTCTTTGTTCTGTACTGATTTTTGTCAGGCATTTAATAACATGTATGAGTGATTCTTTTTTTTTCTTTTTTGTTTTTCTTTCTTTCTCTCTTTCTTTCCAAAGGTGCCATTCTTTCTATTCATAATCTTCACAGTTTATACCATGTTACCTTTTGGGATGAGAGGTGCTGTCATAATTAGCGTCCTTTCCGCTCTCTCCCATATTATTGTTCTAAGCATTGTGGTGAGCGTGACTCATAAGGAAAATATGGAATGCATTGCATTTCAGGTAAGGAAACACTACTTGGTTAAGTAATTAAGTACCCTAGTTATATTACCATTTGATATTGGCATAACTCACCTGTTTAGGTAAGTTCCAAAATTCTACGTGGATGTTCCATGGATTTGGAACATGGGGCCAATGTGTTTTGCATACTTTTATAAAATTGCAGTTGTTTTAATCTGTAATGCACTTTGGTTTTTTGACCTAAGAAGCAGAATTATTATTGCAATTTTTAAACTGAGTTACTGAAAATATGACAAACTTTGTCATGGTCATTCTTTCCAGTCTGTGTGGTTTCAGATGGGTCTATGTAACCTCATCTGGCACTGCCTTACGGGGTGGATCAAAAGGGCTGTTGCTGCCCTGGGGAGTCAGGAGGCCCTGGGAGCGCTATTGGATGCTTTCAGGGTTCCCAACACTTATTAATAGGGCGTGTTCAAGGGAGCACCCCAGCTCTTTTGATGCAGGTGTGATTCAGACTTCACACAGAGTGCTGATGCATGAGTTTGTAGACTGGTTTCTCCCTAAATCAAACACTGGTACCTGCAAATAAACGTTAAATGGTATAGCAGAATTTTCTGTTTTGTGTTATTACTGTATGTTCATACAGGAATGCCTGTGACTCTGTGAGTTGCCTTCTATTTCCCAGGTACATCCTGGCTAATTGCAACACTGATTTGGTGTGTGACAGGGTATGATAAAAATTGAAGGTGGCCTGGGATTGATTGTTGTTAAGGGATTAGAATGTGTATTAGTGAAGTATCAATGCCTGTTCTGCAGTGGGTAAATATTTTTCTTCTTGTGCAGCTACTTGCCAATGCTGTCATTTTCCTTTGTGGCAATTTGATGGGTGCATTTCACAAACGCCAAATGCAAGTTGCTTCCTGGGATTTGTATAGATACACATTAAAGTGCATTCAGGTCCGAATGAAGTTGAAGATCGAAAAGAGGCAACAAGTGAGTGAACTAATTCATGTTATGAATTGCTTGATTTCATTTCTAAAGTCTGTATAATTTTATAAACTTGGTGACTAATGCATGTTGAAAGGCTTGGTCCAATCTTTGTGATACCCACCTAATGTCAAAAATAAAAATTGTGCCATTTGTAACAAAAGGAGGAAGTTAAAGGGAGGAAGCTGTTCTTTGTGGCTTGTCTATATGAAAATCACAGTATTTGTAACAGGAATGTAATTGCCAGTTATTTTAGTTACATTTTTTCCTAGTATAAAATGTTACTGGGACTGGCCCAAGGTAACTTAAAAGAAAATGCCCTTAATATCCTGAAAAATACTTATAAGGTAACTTCAGCAGTTAGTTTGTGCTTCCCTTGGTCACATTTTTTTTTGTTTTGAATTCTAAGGTATTATTTGTTCTTATCTTTTCTTGTTTCACAAACAATTTTTCTTTTGCTAGAAAGAGAAAAAAAAAAAAGGAGCCTAAGGGGAAAAAAAACCCCCATCTATTAGATTACAGTATTTGAGTATGACATTGTTTATTTCCATAAACTCTGGTGGTATTTAAAGAATAAGCAAGGAACATGAATTTCTTACTGTGGAAGGATTGTAAAAAAGTATCAAAGCTGAAACTAGGGCGCCTTTCCTCTTTCATCCTGGTATAAGCAGGGTTAAGAACAGCAGCTCCAGAAGGCTGATGTGTACCCAGTTCTCTGCCCACCAGTTGTTAGATAAAAGGAAGGGTCTGAAAAGCGATTGACTTGATTAACTTGAAAAGAAGAAAATGCCACGCTGCTAGTTCGATCTGTCCTCTGATGCTAATCTTGTGAGATGAGATGACAAATCTGCATGAAAGTCCTGGCAGAATTTCCCCACGCAGGGAAGCATCTAATCAGCTTACACAGGCAGCGTGCTCTCCTTCTTTGGGCGATGTGGTAACTTGCATGGTGGTGGGGTTTTTTTTTTATGGTTGCTTGTTTGAAGTGTAGATGTGCTTAAGTGTGTGGACAGCTTGCTTTTCATCTGTGTTGTAATCTGTCACACAATTTTGAGTCTCCTTTTTGCCGCCCACTTTTTTTCTCTGTGAAAATGATGTGAGAAAGGCAGCTCAGGGTTCATCATCTCTTCCTTGAAAACTGTGTAACGTGTTGGCCTCAAATGGCCCCGTTATATGCACTGGGGCTCTGCTGTCAGTTTAAATTGTTCCCCTAGCTCCACTCTCCTAGTTTTAAAATGCTAGAAGAGGGGAAGGAGGTGTTTCTGTTCTGTCTCAAACTAAACTGCTGTTTGTACCTACTGTAGTCCAGTACTTGATGCTCAGTATCCCTCTTCCCACTGTGATCCCAAGGCATTTATTTTTGGTGGCAGGCACTGGTTAAGTAACCCTGGCAACCTCCTGCCGTGTGTATACTGCTGCAGCAGGTGTTGGGGGAAAAGGGGACAAAAATTTCTTCCAAAGGGATAGTATTTTACTCAGTTACACAATGTGTTAACCTTGCTGGAGATGTCATCAGAAAAAGTTCCTATTTGTAGCCACTCCAATGCAACATTTCCTCTTTTGTGGTGACTCTGTCTCTGGAGTGGTAGAGCCCTTCTTGGGTTAAAAGTACTCTCTTTTTGTCTTCTGCCCAGCAACTTAGCAAGGGTCGTCTTTGAAGAACTGGCTTTTAAGTCAAAGGCAGTGTAAAACAGTGCACTGAATAGTCCCACAATGGAAGTGGGTTTTGAAGAGTCTGTATTCTCACTCAGTTCAAAAGACTGTTTCAGTGGCATCAGTTCTTGGTTCATTGAAGCTCTAGCAGTGTGTTGGTGACACTTTGGTATTTGTTGCTGCTTTTCCAGCATTTGAGAATTCATAAGGGTTTTTAATGTCACGTAGATTGTTTGTTATAGAATATAAGCTTTTACTAGAAGCTTTATCATATTATGCAAACATAACACAGAGATGGGCAGAAAAAATAAGTTTCCATTATCCAGAAATTGTAGTACGGAATACTGTATTTTGTGTGTTTCATGCTTACAGAGGGATGTCACATCTAGGTCACAAGGAACAAAAGAAAAAATATGCAACATCCTTGCTTAACTGTAAAATTGTTGATTTTTGAGAACAGAAATGTAAAAATCTTTTCTGGAAAACCTGACATGCATTACTAAAAAGCTATTTGAATAGAGGCTTTTTTTTTTTTTTTTTTCCTTCTTGCAGTCACCAAAATTCTTCCGTTTTAAACTTACTGTGTCAAGAATTTTGCATCATTCATTTTTTGCCTCTCCTTTTAGGAAAATTTGCTCTTATCCATACTGCCAGCTCATATCTCTATGGAAATGAAGCTAGCAATCATTGAGCGACTGAAGGAAACTAATGATAATAGGCAAATGCATGACAACAACTTCCACAGTCTGTATGTAAAAAGGCACCAAAATGTTAGGTAAGTGGAAACTCTGAAAGTAATTATATTAATGTAAGCTGCTGATTCCTCCCAGTGTATATAGTCCAGTGAAACTAAAAGGTGGAGGTGGATTTTCAGGCTGAAGTGAGCTGCTTCCCTGTTGTGGGAAGATCAATGTCTCCTGAACTGATGTGCTGTCTTCTAAATCAGCTGCGATACTTGAACCCTTTTTTCTAGAGTTGTTTTGCAAAGAGAGGGATGCTTTCTATTAAATGCATTTTAATACGTAAGCTGGCTGTGGAATAGACATACCTTCATATTTCAATTCTGTTGTTCTTTCCTTTTGTTCTTGTCTAGCATTCTTTATGCAGACATTGTAGGATTCACTCGCCTTGCCAGTGACTGCTCTCCTAAGGAACTAGTAGTGATGCTGAATGAACTTTTTGGAAAGTTTGATCAGATTGCAAAGGTGGGTGTTGCAGTTTGTTGTGCAGTAGGGACAAAGGCCACCACTGGAAAAACAAGAAGTGTTTTCTGCAAGACAGAAGGCAGCTGGTATGAGTGCTTCTGAAGTCAGGAAGGGAAGACTGCTTTGGCTTTCACACTAACTAGCAAAATCACATTAAAACAAGGTTTTAAAACAAAAATAGGACATTTAGCAAGTTGTTACTAATTGCAATTCGTGAGTCTGGAGGTTTATCTGTATTGTTTAGTGAATTGTCTGATGGCAATAAGTTACTGTAATAGGGCTGTAAGAGGTACTGTATACAAGCTCTATTGAGGAGCTTTGCTGTGTTCAGCTAGAAGGGTTGTTTGTTGGCACTACTAATGGGGAGCTCTCAGGCACACACTTAAATTCATGAATAATAATTCATCAAACCAAAGAGTCCTTTAGCTCAGGAGTAATAATAATGGGTACTTAGAGAAAAGTGTAAGAATGGGAAGTAGGTTAAAATGGTCCCTATTAAGACATACCCTCGCTACTGACCTTTCAGGCTGGCAGTACTTCTTACCACTTCCAAGTGCTGTTTGAGGTTAATTTCTTTGCAACTGTAATCACAAACTCAGTTTTTGGGACTGTATCGAATATATGTGTTTGCATGATTGGCTCTGTGTAATGGTTTCTGTAACCCTCTAAAACTGACCCAAAAAACCCTTGGATGTATGTGCTGTCATATCCACTGATTTTTTTTGTTAGTTTTATGAGGCAAATGTGGCTTTAGGAAAATCTGACATCAAAAAAGCAAATACCTACCCAAATTCTAGTTCTAGAAATGTAGCATCGGTAAAGCATAAGTCAAGACTAGCGACTAATTATCCAAACTTCCCATGGTTTAAAGATGCTGGTTTGATTTCATAATTGACTATATTTAGATATAGTCTGAATGCAAATTAGAAAATGAATGGACTTGGAAAATCTTGTTTTTGTGAAATTCTAAAAATTCTTCAGAAAAAGTGGGAAAACTAAAATTATTAATATAGCAGAGGAATGAAGTTGCTTTAATTAAACTTTTGTGGGTGTCACTGAATAAATTCTTGAATACATCACTGATTAAATTCTGGCTATAAGATCCTAGTTAACCTTTTTGACTAAACGACATTGCCAGTCTTTGTATTTATATGAATTCAGTTGCTGTTAACACTTCACGCACTGGCAGATAGGAGAGTCATACTAACTGTATTGGAATTGTATTGTTGCAAAGCAGCTGTTAAGAACACAGAGCATGTCATGTCATCTTAGTTGCCACGATCTTTTTATGCCATGGTAGAAGCTGAGGTTAAAGACATTTGGTCATTTTTTGCAACTATTCATCAGATAGGAAAAACAGAAAGTACTCCAGATTTTGAGTTGTATGTTTTAATTTCTGACTCCGGTCTGCACATTGCGCTGTTTAAAGTCAAGGTCTTTTGCAACTCTGTGGTTGAGCTGTAAGAAGAGGATCCTGCTTTCTGTTCTATTTTTGTTTTGCTGGGGAGTATTCAGTCATCTTTTCCATAATGTAAAAACATTGTAGGCTCCAGTTTACCTAATAACCTGGCTACTGAGCTGGCTACTGAGGTCTAAGAGCTCTAATCTAGGGTAGGTTCCCCCATTCATCTCTGAAGCTGAAGCACAGGGCTATCCAAGCTTGCTGCTTCCTCCAACACCCAGAACCTACTGGAGGGCTTAAGATGGTGGAGAATGGTGAATGTTCTCTTAAGACTTTTGTTGATGAGGGAGAACAGCTTAGCTTGGTAAATTGTCACTGATTTGGGCTGGTTGTAAAGCAGGGTCTTTTGGAGTTGATTGAAGAATTGCTAGGCTGTTCCCACAGCAGGGAGGGCTGGGCAGCTGGAGGTGTCAGCTGGCCCAAATGAAGCCATCTCCACTCATCAGTCAAACACTATACAGCCTTGCAGAATTAGCCCTGGGTCGCTTGCAACCTTTGTAGTTAAAATTCTTCAGTAATGTTTAAACAAAAGACAGTATGAGGAGATCTTTGCTCTTCCCCTTTCCTCTCTCCAGCCAGTAGGCTCTGCTGCCAGGTAGTACAATTTTTTTTTTATTAGCAAGAGCAAGTTGTGGTGTGTGCTGGCTTCCTCTTCAGTCATATTTGAAACAAAAAAACCCATTTTGCTTCTGCAAAGCTACAAGGTTGGGCATTTTAATTCCTAACAGTCTTAATAAAAACAAAGATTAAAGATAGATAAGTACATTTCATCCTTTAGATGGTAAATTCTGTGACAGTTTTATTTTTATTTATAGTTTCTCAATTACAAACAGTTCAAGAATAAAGTCAGGAACTAGTAAGATGATTTTATTTCAGAAATGCTTGAAGTGGTCATTTCTGTTACTCTCCAGTGAGCAATGTCCAGGCATTTGGAGGTGGGAAAGAAGTAAGCTTTGCTTCAGCATGGATTGAATGAAGCCTGGCTTCTTAAAATGATACAGACAAGTCGTAGTTTTGATGTCATTAGACTACTTGCAGTTAATTTTTTTTTTTCTGTTAAATGTGTTTATTGTAATTTCACAGGAAAATGAATGCATGAGAATAAAAATCCTGGGAGACTGCTACTACTGTGTCTCAGGCCTGCCTGTGTCCTTACCGGTTCACGCCAGGAACTGTGTCAAAATGGGACTTGACATGTGTGAAGCAATAAAGTAAGTACACCAGAGAAGGCTTTTTAATGTATCAAAGCTATGAAGATATTGAATAAAGTCATTCTTAGTTTTCTTGTCAACATTCAAAGCGTGTTTATTAGCTGTAGTTGGATAGTTGCGCATCAAGTCATAAGCTTGTCTCTTGTCTTTGCACTAAGTGCATAATGAGACTAAACTTCAACAGATCTGCTGGAGGAGGAGAGACGATCAGGTGTAACTTCTGCTCTGATTCCCTCCTCCCTCCCCAGGCAGGCACTAAGTGCATAATGAGACTAAACTTAAACAGATCTGCTGGAGGAGGAGAGACGATCAGGTGTAACTTCTGCTCTGATTCCCTCCTCCCTCCCCAGGCAGGTGAGAGAAGCCACGGGAGTGGATATCAACATGCGGGTGGGTATCCATTCTGGGAACGTGCTGTGCGGTGTCATCGGCCTCCGGAAGTGGCAGTACGACGTCTGGTCGCACGACGTGTCCTTAGCGAACCGCATGGAGTCTGCGGGTGTACCTGGGTGAGGATCTTCCCTCTCCCTGCTCATCCACTCTGTCATCGTGTTTTTCTTAACCCTGGTTTATGAGTCTGGATTTTGTAACTGTGCCATGACACAAATCCTTAGAATGGGATAATTATAAGACAAATGTGTACTTACCAGAGCTGTAAAGTGTTAACATTTTCTGATTCTGTTTTCAGTGAACTATAAAATTCTGTTCTTAGGCAACTTACTGCCTAAGAACACTTAGGAGAAACTTGTGTGTCTTCCACAGTGCATTATGTTGACTTAATTTTTCACATTGTGCATAGGGATAATACTATATTTGTAAGTTCAGCTAAAGAATAGATAGGCTACTTATGTTGACAAAGCAAAGCTGCATATTTACCTACAGTTCTGTTAACATATCGATATGTCCCACTTGATTTATATTAGCTCTATATTCGGCACCACCCCAACTGCAGTTAAAATGCAGCCTGATGAGAAGCATCCAGGCAAGGAGAGTTTGGAGCTGTTGGTTGTTGTGTATTCTCTCTGCACAGTGTTTGTCATGGGTGGAATGGGAAGGAGAGTGAGTAGTCCTGAGTGGCAGAGCTGAGGCAAAGCGGTAACAGAACCTGCCGTGTGCTGCTCAGCACTGCAGAGGATTGGGTCTGAGGCTGATGTTCGTGCTGCCTTTTTGAAGATGCTTATTGAAAAAGACAAATACAACATGGTCGTGTTTTAAAAAAACTTTTATTTTTTCCTCATTTAGGAAACTACATTCCCCCTGCCCTATTTTCTAAGTTGAATTTGGGGATTAGAATTCAGCTAAGAAACTATTCCCCCCCCAACTTTTCCCTTCCCTTTTTCCCTTTTTTCCCTTTTCCCCTTTCCCTTTTTCCATTCCCAAATGAGACCATGATTTTGTAGGTTCTTGGTAGTCTATGCAAATTAGTACTTACTAATTGAACAGCATTCACGTGGGTGTATGTTAAAGCATTAAAGTATTGATTTCTCTTGGAATGTGATTCTAACAAGTGACATTATAGGGTTTCTTATTATTTCTATGCCTCAGACAGCTTTTAGGGATACGCTTGTAACTTAGCAATTAATTTCTGCAAAATGACAAGAGGGTATGAATATCAAATTGTTTTCTTGCATTGGTAACCGAAACAGAAAGAAAACTCCTTGGAGCTTGGTTAGCAGCTGCAATGCTCTGCAAGTTGAGTGTTTTAGTGTGTTGACTCAGCATGATTAATCAAGAATACAGAGTTGTAAAGCTTCTTTTGTTAGTAAAGCAAACAACGTGACTGAGTATGGCACGAAAACATACTTTTCTTAGTCATGTTTAGGACCATTGCCTAATCTTGAAAACTTTGATTATTGCATTACATTCTTTGTGCTTATGTTTGATAAGCTGTTAAAGAACACAGCTGGTTTAGGTTGACTTGCTCGTTCTGAAACATTGTACTTAATACTTCCTATACCTATACATGTCAAGCACTTGCTTATCATGGGTTTCACAAGGAGCCAGAGAAAACCTTCCATTTGTGGAAGGCTGAGCCTTACAGGGAGGACGGGTTTCTATTCATTATGCAAATGTTATGTTACATTTGTTTCCTGCTCTGCAGAAAAATGATGTGTCTGCGATTCCCCATTCTGATGTTAGGTAGTCCTGCTCCTTTGGAAGCAGAAGCCTTGTTATTGGGAGCAGTTTGAGGTTTTTTATTTAAAATAGGAAGTATGTATTTGGGTTTCTGTAAATGAAGGAATTCTAATGTCGTGAAAGGATACAGGTAAACTTGTGGCTTTATAAATATTTTATTTCCATTGACAGAGTATTCTTGTCGATCTTCTTTGTGATTTTAAAAATTATTTGCATTCATAACAATCTAATACACTATAAAGCGGAAAGGACTATCATAAAACCAAAATTAAAAATGCATTTAGGGCCATTTCTCTCGTGTATGTACCTGAAAGATCAGAGTATGTTATTCTCAGGCCTGTTAGTGTAGGAAATTGAGTGCAGTGTCTTAGGTATTGTGTACTAGCGCGGTAAATGCCACAGTGCACGTTACAGCTTGCCTTTGGGAGGCAGCTTCAGTGGTAGCACCTTTTGCTCCTGTGCTGATCCTGGACTCCAGTAAGCTTTAGTAACTGCTGACAAATCATCAGCACAGACATTTAAATGGAAAAAAAAAAGTTTACAGTAAGATGGGAAATGTACAGCAGCGTGTGATCTGGGGAAGAGGGGAGAGGAAGCTTGGTAAAATGGAAAATGGTGCATAGTGAACAAATGTACCGCTCTCTGACATAAGTGGAAAACCACTTATACCACAAGAAAACTTGCTGCAGCACGTGAGTGTTTTAGGGCTCAGTACAGACATCAGCCAGTATCCCTCAGTCCCTATGGGAGAAAATGATGCTTTAGAGCAAGCTTTAAAATTTCACATCTGAAGGTTCGTCTTGATTGCAAACCCACATAATCAAGGTAACAAAAAAACAGGTTTTAGAGACAGTTAGAGATGCATAAAAACATGCATTTTGTATATTCCAAAACTGTTACCTTTTGTCTCCAAAAGGATTGAGGAATTTTCTGTTCTTCCTTGTGGGAAGCCAGTGGTCTCCAGATTTTGACTAAATTGTCTTTGGTCAAACCTACATGCGGTGTGAGTAGAGGCGGATGGGACAGAGACCCCCTTGCTCTCTGTAGTTAGGCAGGAGTGCTGCATGCTGTCAGCTTCCATTTGGGAAATGTTCTGTTCCCAGCTCTGTGCTGATGGATTGTAGGACCAACAGCACAGTGTTTAACCCCTCCGCGCCAAAGAGAAGTGAGAAAACCTGTGGGAAGATGAACAATAAGAAAATAGAATATCAGAAAAGAATTGCTATTTGATGAACACGCTCAAGTCTCGTGTTGAGAAATTATATGGAAAGATATTACTGGTAATTTATATGGAAATACCTGATTTGGGATACTGAACTAAATTGCATTTATGGGAAAGTGTGAATGGGCACAGAAAAATATGAGCTGCTCCCCTTAGAAGTCTGTTGCTGTGTTATGCTCTCCTCTGATTTCTTCAGTCAGAAGCAGCAGGCTTTCAGAATCACCCTCCTAGTTGACAAAAAAGCTTTTCCACCTTTTTCTTCCAGACTTTGTAACCATCTCCTCCCCTCCTCATGTATTTCTAGCATGAGACAGGCCTCGCTTGTGTTTTGTGAGCTTCCTTGCAGCTCTTGCCATCTGAAACAACCTGCCTGTGAGTGAGTCTGTCTTGTCAGTCATCAGATCTCCTTTGAGCACATTTCTTCTTAAATCTCTGCTTATTTCAATTTAAGTTTATACTGATAGTATCTCATTCTGGGAAGTGTTTTTTAGCATACCTGCTATGAAAGACGTGTGACGAAGAACTGCAGTAGAGGATTGCAAATACACTTTTAAGTGCTGGCAGGATTTTGCAGTTGGCTGCCAGAGCACAAGATGGCTGAAAAGCAGAAATGTCAGCAGTGGCCATTGAAATGTAAATTAAATGTTTAATGTGACCTTTCTGTAAGTGTTTGGGTCTCTTGTTCTTTCTCTCCTTCTCAGCCGTGTACACATTACTGAAGCAACATTAAATCACCTAGGCAAAGCTTATGAAGTGGAAGAAGGGAACGGACACCTGAGGGATCCTTACCTGGAATCCATGAATATCAAAACCTACTTAGTGGTTGATCCAAGGGTATGTGTATGTTTTCAAACATGTATATTTATTCAATTATATACGTACATTTAAAGTACACAGGTGTCTGAGGTGCATACACCTTTTAAGTCAGGAACAGAATTAAAGCATGGTATGAGTCATCTGAGTGGCCTGGATTTGGGACTTCAGTCTGAAAGCACGTCCTACTGTTTTATGATAGGACTATTAGCTTGAAGCTAGTAGGTGTTAATGCTGAAACCTCTATGTGGTTCACATAGAGTAAAAATACGTATTTCACTATTTGTGTGAAGTGTCTCTTGCACAAATCCAAGTCAAAAGGTGGGATGAAGTCATGAAAGAATACCTGTACTGGGTGGCCACTTTCAGATAAAATATTCCTTATAAAATAACTTCTGGAATCTTCCTCATTATCTTATATGTGAGATTTGCCGCCTTTTCAAGGTGTAAAGTTAGCAGCTGTTGGTTGCCCCTTTAGAGCCTGGTAACTGCAAACACCTGGAATATTGCTATTTTGAATCTGCTTGTGGTTGATGAGTAAAATATTTCTAAGGAAGAAAGAATGAAAAATACAAATTTCTTTCCTTCAGGATCTTTACAGGAAGGAACAGTATCGAGTCACTATTAATTAGCAAGAGCTCAGTCTTATCGTTGCATGTTTTAGGTACTCAGCACTGCTACCCCCCCTCCAAGTACACAATGAATCTTCTCAGCATTGGGATCTAAGTCTATTAAAATGGTCCCTGTTCACTTGAAGATCCCTGTGAAGTGTTAGTCATTGATGTATTGGTTTATTCTGTAGTTTTAGCTTCTTTTTAGACCCACAAGGGTATTTTTGTGTGCCCTGTATATACTGCCTGCCTCTTCACCTGTGATGTGGGGATATAATCTAATGCTGAGTCTGTAATCTGTGGGATCTTCTCCCAACCGCAGTTTTGGTACGCCCTAGCTCAGGAATTGGGGATCTTTTTCCCCTCTGGTTGTGCTGACTGCAAGGAAATTGTATCTATTCATGAGATCCTGCGATCTCTCGCACCATCGTAAATAAACCAGGAGGTTGGAATGTTGCAGTGCTACAAGCAAAGGCTTGTAAAGGCAGCTGAAGCAAATTCATTATGTCATAATTTGCTTTAGCTCACATTAATTAAATGAGATAAAGGAACTGAGGTTGGCTGACACATTCCTGATGGGTGTTTAGAGCCCTACTAAATGGCTAGATTGTATAGTCCTAAACCACTCAAGTACACAGAGCTTCATTTCTTTCCAATTTGTATCATTTTCTGGTTTCTAAATGAGTGTGTTTTTTCTGTTAGTCCAAACAATGCGTATCAAACAATCATCTCCCTAAAACAAGAGTTAATGATGGCCTGAAGATGCGAGCGTCCGTTCGGATGACACGTTATTTAGAGTCCTGGGGAGCAGCCAGGCCCTTTGCCCACCTGAACCACAGAGAAAGTGTGAGCAGCGACTCTTCAGGTTCACAAGGAAGGCGAAGAAAGGTGAGGTTTGAAGTGTCATCCTGTGATTGCAAGCTGCTCCTCGTGTCTGTGGTGTGAGACTTGGAATCTGACATGGCCTTTGTGGCTGATGCTCTGCTGTGACTCTTGGTCTTAAATGTCTGCAGAGAACTGAGAAGGTACCTGTGCAACAACTATTTCTGCCAGAACTTTACAGTGCTCAAACTCTGCCAAACTCTAGCATGCTGTAACCGTAGTAAACCTTCAAAGTAAGGCTTTGAAACTATCTTCCGGGTTTGTGGAAGTATTTTCCAGTCTATTTGCCTCTGCTGATGCTAGTTATTTCAGTTTGTGGAAAAAAATAAGAGGAAAGATCTGTTCAATTCTTTTGTAACAATTTTTTTTGGTCAGAAAATGCTAACTTGCTAAAGCAGAAAACATTGCTGGAAAGGGTAGATTTTGATAAACTTTTCTATTTGAGAATGGTTCTTGATTTTTATATGTGATTAAAAATGTTTTTAGCAGCTTCCTGAAGTTGATTTTTCAATAGTAGTTTGCTATTTATGGAGCATGTAACTTATTCTTAACTCCTTATTTGCTTTAGGAAATACCTTTGTGTACCACTGGGCGCCAGAGAACTTCCGACAGGTTTGTCAAATACTTTTTTAAAAATACGTTTTTAGTTTTCTTGCTCATAGATGCTAGGTTTTTTTGTAAATATTATAGTACAAAATAAACAACTTTTTTTAAAAATATGTTTTTAGTTTTCTTACTCATAGATGCTACATATTTTTTGTAAATATTATAGTACAAAATAAACACAGTTTAATGTAATATAAGTAACTATATATTATATTTAACAAGATATGTCTTTGGTTAGTCATAATATTATAAGTAACTATATCTTATATTTAACAAGATATGTCTTTGGTTAGTAGTATTACTGTATGCCATTGTAGTGTAATGAAAAATGCTATATGTAGAAATGCAGACAATGGTACCTGTACCACTGAGTTAATTAAGTTGATGATTTTTTTACTTCGGAAACATTCTCTTAGTTTATCAATGTATTATCTTAAAAATTGCATGATCTGAGTAACTAGAGGAATGCTTAGTAAAGTGCTTATGGATGTGTATCAGTTTGGAGCATTCTTGTTTAACTTAGTAGTAGCTCACCTCACTTGTGTACTAAGAAAGCATCGTCCTCTGTAGCCATTAATTGTTTCTGAATAGCATTTGTGACATGGACTTCATTTCATTCTCAGAAATTCATCTCAGAAGGGAAGGATAGAGGAAGATATTTATGATGAAATGATGTCAACCATTGAGGGCCTCAGTTCAACTAAGTATGCGGTGTTTTACTTTTCTCTTAATCTTTTCTTTGAGAACAATCTGCATTCTCAATTTTAAGTCTAAATATAAAATTTACTTCTTAAAAATTGAAAGTTACCAGGATTTTTATCTTCCCTTTTTTTTGGTCTTCAGTTGGTTTTTACTTATTTTAGTTCCTTTTCATTTTAATTTGAATATGAGAGTATTGCTGCATTATTATAGCAAGAAGCCAATGGTTAGTCTAGCTTTTCAATGTGCTATAGAACTATGAAATAGCAAAATTATTGCTTTGTTAATGACTGTCTAAAATAATGACCCAAACTGCAATGTACGACAGGACAGGAAGTTAATGTTGGTGTTTTGCTTATTAAAATAAGAACATCAGGAAATGGAGTGCAGCCCTGAACAAAACCTGTATATAAAGCCAAAGCACAGTTTTGGGGGGTAATGATAAAATTGCTTGAGTGTCTGGTTCACTGAGGGAATATGGTCTATCAGTAGCTGGTGGTATCTTTGGCACTATATTTGCATTTACAAGCAGACAGACAAAGGCAATGTTGTTTTGGTTGGTTGTTTTTTTGTTTTTTTTTTTAAATGGAGAGGGACTCTTTATCAGGGAGTGTAGCGATAGGATGAGGGGTAACGTTTTTAACTGGAAGAGGGGAGAGTTAGATTAGATACTAGAAAGAAATTCTTTGCTGTGAGGGTGGTGAGACACTGGAACAGGTTTCTCAGAGAAGCTGTGGCTGCCCCATCCCTGGAGGGGTTCAAGGCCAGGCTGGATGGGGCTTGGAGCAACCTGGTCTGGTGGGAGGTGTCCCTGCCCAGGGCAGGGGGATGGGAACTCCATGATCTTTAAGGTCCCTTCCAACTCTAACCATTCTGTGATTCTATGATTTAAATTCCTATGCAAAGTGAAACTGTGTATTCAAGAAGAAAGTTCAACTCTTTCTTTCATGTCAATTGCAGCAAGACTGATCTCAGCTACTCCTAATAGGGGCCTGATATTATTTGGGGGAAGTTTTTGGAGGCTGTGAGCCACCTCTAACATCTGCTATTACAGTTTCCTATTCGTGAACCTTGGAGACAGTCTGGGGTTACATTATGTATGTAACTGGCAGACGCTGCTGTCTGAGAGTGTTCTGGATCTGTCTTTGAGCTACATAAAAGCATAACCCCTCATGTCTTGTGCCGTGAAACGTAAAGACCTTGCAGAAGTGTCAGATGTGTGTAAGCCAGTGGCACTCTCACCCTGTGTGCTTGGAGTCTCAACCACAGTCAGGCTTCTGCGTACCCTCCTTGGCCCGGTGCATCCCTTTTGTAACTTGTCTCTCTTTAAATGCAGCCCCTGGTGTGGCAGATCGGATGACTTCTGGGGATTTTCACTGATATTTGCAGAACCCAGTCTTGAAAAAGAGGTCGGTAGGAGCAAAATAATCCTTTTTGGTCTATGATTTGCACTCCAGAGCAACATAAGAATATATTTGAAACTCTGTTTTTTTTCATTCTGAAATGGGATTCTGGAGGTGACTTCACATCCAAGGAGGTGTTGGTAACTAATGGAAAGCAGATTTCCTGATTCGTTTGAGTTGGTCGTTCTTCCCCGAGAATGCTAATTCTATAGATTAAAGGAAATTCTCTCTAATCTGTGGATAAATTCTTGCCATAAGAGAGTTAGTAGGAGTTTGGCCACTTTGCTATATGAAGAACTTATCTCAAATGCAATGAGATGTATTTCTTTTAAGAAAAGTATTTCTGCATCCATAATGAAAATACTTTGCTTTCTGTGGTTGTTTCATTGCAAGTACATTACTGTTATTTGTCAGGTACAGTGTACTTTTTCTGTTTGAATAACTGGCCTTTATTTACCGTGCTGTGGTGTACTGTATGTAATTACTTGGGGGGGCGTGTATACACGTCACGTTTATTTCTGTGCATATCCTTTTTTTATGATTCTGACTATGTGCACCTGTGAAGTGCTGATTTACATACTTGGATTTCCCTCTAAGTTTGATATTATCCTTTGCACTGGGCTGTTTTTCATGGCAGATGTTCAAATGAATTTTATTAGGTGGTTTTCTTTTGTTCTCTTTTAGTTCTATGTATATTTTTAATCATACGGTATAAATGTGCATATATGTGTCATCACAAAAAAATAATGAATTTTAAAAAACCCTGGAATTGTCCTTAAGATTTATTGTAATCTGTGTTTCAGTATCGCACCATTCCTATTCCAAAACTGAAGAGTTACTTCCTATGTGCCAGTTTTGTGTTCCTCTGTATATTTCTGATACAGATGTTTATAATGCCAAGGTAAGTGTCAGTATTCTAATAATTTATGATTCAAATTAACCAGTAGCTAAAGTGAAACTCATGTTTGTGAAACTTTTTAAAGTCTTTTGGAGTTCCTGAGGGTTTACACTTAAGAAACATACACCTCTCAGGACTAATTTACCCCTTAATAAAGGAGTGTATTCATGTTGTTGGCGTAAGAGCCTAGGTATCAGTATGAAAATAAAATAGATATATTCCTTTAATATTGTGTTTGCTTAGTACACACAGGGAGATGATCAGTTAAGTGAGAAGTACTATTTAAAAGAATAGTTGGCTGTAAACACATTAAGTGAGCAGTAGAAAAACCAGGGATTAGCTGGCAGGTGATCCTTTTGTGTGTGGAGATAAAAGGAGGGAACTTTGAGGAGATTCTCATACCTCTGAGAAAGCAGATGTTTGATTTGGAATGTTTTGCTGTATTTGTTCTTCACGGCTGTTGCAGTGCAATTTCCATGTGATTCAAGCTGCCAGTGAGGAGTAGAATATTTTAAAGTACTATTTGTGCAGCAGAGCAACAAAAACCTGTGCAATGTTATGGTCATCAAGTGCTACTGGAAGAAAAGCTCTGTTTATATTTAGAGAAACACTGTTAGCAAACATTAGTCTGAATTGTGATTTGAAAATGTTTTTCATTTAACACGGGGTTGTTTGATGCTTTCTCTTCTCTTTAGAACTGCAAAATTAGGAATTTCCTTTGGCATTGTTGCAGTCATCATTGTACTCGTTTTGTTTGTGTGCTTTGCTGAGAAATTTACGGTAAGTTTATTTAAAAAGAAAAAAAAGTTTCCTGTTTCCAAAAGTGGATGGATGTAATTCAACAACGTGGTCTATCTTTTAGGATGATGAATTTAAGCTGTTAATTTCACTAGGAGTTACAGGAGCCTTGAACTCAGGTTACCAGAAGATTTCGTTGCCTGAAAACAGATTTTCATGTCTGAAAATTCTCATTATAATTCAGAATTATTTGGGTGCCAGAATAGATGGTTGCAGGGGAGGAGAAAGATATTAACACTTGCTGAATGGGGTTGGGGTTATTTTTAATTGATTTTTATTTTTGTGTTTGTCTTTAATAGTTATTTTGGTTGCAAATCCTGATATTTTCTACAACAGAAACAAAATAAGTTTGAATGCAAGATTAGTTTTCGTAATCATTTGTAAAGCCCCATGAAAATTACAAACGTATGAATAATTTATTGGCAACAATTTCATAGCTGTTACAATTCCAAATTCACCATTACATCAATTAGGACCCTTTGCATTTGTAGTTCATTTTTCTTTGCATTATTAAATGCATGCAATTACTGTTTAAAAATCTGTAGTGCCATAGAGACGTTTAGAGTTCCTCACACTCATCACATCTGTGTTGGGCTAGAGCAAGGGTGAGAGGGAGTTCTGAAGGTCTGTTGAGAAGATGCCACCATCATCCTGTGCTCCCCCAGGAAAACTGCTGCAGAAAGAGACGGGCTCTTACTGAGCCGGGTTCAAGTTGGGTAAAAGAGGGGGAAAAAAAAAAAAAGAAAATTGTACTTTCTACATGGGATTAAGTTTTATGAGTGATTTAAAAGTACAGTTTGATAGCATGTATGGTGTTTATGTATGTATCTATATGAGTGGATGGATTTTTATATATATGTGTGTAGAGAGGTGTGTGTGTACATATGCATGTACGTTTTCTACGTATGTAAAAAATATGGAGAAAAGAAAAAGAAAATACCAAGATTTCAATTGCATCAGACTTGAGTTTTATGCTGGGAGTGTTTTGGTATCTCATCCTTGAGTAATGCCCACAGTTGTTACCAGTACCTGCTTTACTAGATGTTTTCCTCTAGAGCAACAAAGGGAGGAGATTAGGATGGTGAGAAAGGGGGCTGTCTACATTGGTTTCTATCTAGTCATCTGAAAATGTAGTTCCAAATATAGTATTATAGCTCTATAACTAAAAAAATACAACATAGGTTGTCACTGTATTTTTAGTAATATTTTTCTAGACCTTTCAGATCATAATTTTTATTTTTCAAGAAGAAATTCAGAAAATGTTAGCACCCAGCCCCATTGAAATAAGGAAGCATTATCTCCATTTTCAGTTGTGGAAAGGCATTAGGCATTTAATCTGAATGAATGGATTCAGACTTCTAAATTAGGATTGCAATGAAGAATCTTGACACTCTGCTGCAGAGAGAAAGTGGTTTATATTTAGAAATGTTTATTCCCATGTATCAAAGCGTTATCCATGTTACTGAAATAAACTAATTTTGTCTGCAGAAGTGCTGCTCAGAACGGCGGCCTTTCCTGCGCCATCTTTGTGCCATCTCAGAAAAGGTGGAAACGATGCCTTTAATTAGGCTTCCATTAGCAGTCATCACTATAGGTGCCTTGCTCATTATAGCCATTTTTAATATGGTAAGTAATCGCATTATGTTTATTCTGTGAACTTACTGTAGCATTGAAGCTGTGACCTTATTGTAGTATTGAAGTTTAAGTAACTTCCTGTGTTATTTTCAAGTACCTTGCTATTTACTCCTTTTCCTGATGTCTGATTTGCAGCATGAGTTGATTTACACAAGGATAATGCACGATGCATTAAAAGTAAAAGCATTAAAAGTAGAAGTTCCCAGTTTGTAGAACTGAAAGTTCATGTGAGAGACTTGAGTTCTGTTTTACATCACCTTTTCTTGCTTTCAAGATGGCATTTATAATCAGTGTTGATTATAACTGTCATCTCTAATGTCTTCTTTTTTTTTTTTAATGTGGGTTTAAATGTTTGGCTGCAGTGGGCGAAGTTTGAAGCAGTTACTGTGCTGTTTGTACCCGCTAGTAATAGTGCAGGTGGAGGAGGGAGTAATATGGCTTGACTCTCTTTTTAAAGCCAAAGCCATTATTGGTAGTTACTGCTAGACTGAGATGCAAACAGACTCTGTCTTTTAACTCTAGTTTGTGTGTGGTATTGCACCTGGGGTACATACCTTTGAAAAACAACCCTTTGGAGTAACCTCATGCTCAAGACCGCTCTGTTACAGTTTTTTTTGTTTTTTTAACCAAGCTTTATGTGACATAATATTATTAAGAGTATTAAGATATTAAGAGTTTTAAGAGTTATTAAGATTATTAAGAGTATTAAGAGTTACACCTCTCTGATAGCAAGCTGCTAAAAGGGATGTCCTTCTGATCCCATATGCTTGGTCTCCTATTCCTATAATTCCACGGGGAGTTTACTCTGAAAGCTAACCTGCAGAAAATGCTTAATTTTCTTTTTATGGAGTTGTTTTTCTGCTGGCTTAGGTCCTTGAGTTGACTCAACAGTGGTGTCAGGTGAACACCAGGAGAGACAGCCTAAAACAAAACAGGAACAGCAGCTGTGAAACTGGGGGCAGAGACAGAACCATACGTTTGTGCCAGTTAGCTGTTAGAGTAGTGTAGCTGTAATGTGAAACTTTACCCCAAATTTAAAAATAAATAAATACTTGGCAATTTTAACCTTCATGTACCTTGTGTGTACACATATGTTTTATACAACTCTATGGATGTCATTGCATTTTAACATTTATGTTGCAGTAGCACTGAAAGAGCAACCAGATCAGGGCTCATTGTGTAATAATATAAGGAGAAAAAACTTAAAATTAGTGACTATTTGCAAACAAGTTTGTATGGTGACTTTCTTGTTTGTTTCCCCCCCTGCCCCCCGATAAACCAAGACTACTGAAGAGATCAAAGCTGCAAACTCTACTGGATCAGGTGACCTGGGGGCTACAAGCTGTGTGAGTAGAGCAATGTCTTCATTTCTAAGATACACATGAGCCGAGTCTTGGCTGGTGTGTGTAATACAGATGGATGGCAGCATTTTGATATCTTTTTTATAAAGACAGAATTTTGAAATCATTGAACACAAAGACTGACTTGTGCCACAAAGAAGTTCTAAGGATATTTTCTATCACTAGCTATGGCTTTACTGTGCCTCTCTTAGGGATTTTCAAAAGACTGGAGTACTCTGGGATAAAGCTGAAGTCTTGGCATATTTTGATTACTCAGCACCATTGACAGGTGTTCTCTAGCATTTTTATAAGGATAGATTCAGCAATTAATAATGACACAAAAGGATTATTTGCGAGGGTTTTGTTTTTTCTCTCTTTAATTGCAAAGTAGCATTCTATTTTGAGATCATCCAAGTGTTTGGGATGCTGCCCCTTTAGATGATGGACGTGTTTTTGAACCATACGCAGCAGGTTGTGTGGGGACCTTTAGCTCAAGTCCTTATGACAAATGCAAAGTTGCACAGACATAATGCACATTGTACTCATCTGCTCATTTTCTGTTCTTGCATGTCTGTAAATCAGCCTTTTGGGAACGCAACTCAGTCCTGCATTGAGGAAACTGTAAGTAGTGAATACATGTTGCTTTAAAACCCAAATCTTTGTATATTGTGTATCTTACTGACAGCTGGCAGGTTCTTTTGCTGTGTAAAACAGTGTTTTTAGGTTCCTAATGAAATCAAGGTATTTCAGCTGCTGTTGCTGTGCTGAATACAGTATGGCTTTGCAATTTTTTGAAATTTCAGTTGTAAAACCAGATCTAAAACTTGGAGGAAAAAGCAGTAGAACAGGATGACAATTATGTTCAAGTGTTAGCTGAGAGCTGTGCGTGCAGTAAAGTATCTTGGTAGAGTGAAAGGGCCTTAAATGGCCAACAGACCTGTGTCAGTGTTCTCTGTGTAGGGGTTTCTCTTCTTCAGGTTTGCCCTCAGGGTTATAACTAAGTGGTGGTTACCTTTAGGAGGCTAGGGTCACTGCCTTGGTGCAATACCTTACCATCCAGAGCTGACACCTGCCAGCTTTAATGCTGCCTGCTGGCCCTGGACACCACACCTGAACTCTGATTTCTCAGGGAGATGTTTCAGTAATTCCACTGGGTAATAGCACTGGCTTGATAATGGCTATTAGCATCAAAGGTTTTATGAAGGAGCTGGGTCTAAGGTTGGATCCTCACCTGTTCCAGCTGGGGGAGATGGGAATATGGTGTCTGCTTAAGGTTGCAAAGGGGTAACGTTGTCAAAACCAGGGCCAGGATGCTGGAGTTCCTGGTTCAGAGCCTGTTCACTGGACTATGAACCTACTTTAGGTTAGTCTTGTACTTTAAATAATTGCTTAAAGTATTAGACTTCAGAAGATGAATTCTCAACATTTCAGTTTTTATCTGACACTGCTTACGTTGGTGTGATACTTTTTGTTTAAATCTTTTTGCTTGTCTTTTAACAAATTAAAAAAGTAAAATGAAAAAGTATCAAGTTCTGCCTTTCAGTGCAGTTAAAAATGAAGCTTTAAGTGTATTTAGCAAGTGATTGTAATTTCTTCTATTTCAATTACAACAATCATGAACTTAGAGCATTTACTATGGTTTGAAGGTTTTAGGCATAAAGCCTGAATAATGCAACTGCTCTTTTTAAATTCTTCTTTACAGTACTACACTTACTGGAAGTCTCTTAGGCATAAAGCCTGAATAACACAACAGCTCTTTTAAATTCTTCTTTACAGTACTACACTTACTGCTGCATATTGGGCTTCATTGCTTGCTCAGTATTTCTTCAAATCAGCTTTGAACTCAAAGTTCTCCTCCTGTCCATCGCCGTGACTGTGTACCTCGTCGTTTTTAATGCCCTTCACAAACCCCCAGACTCCTATGGCAACAGCACCAGGTGCAGTGTAAAGTTTCTTATAATTGACAATAAAGTTTCGTAAAGGAGGTGTGAGATTTTTGTATGCTTGCTGGAATATTGAAATATCAAAACCATGTAAGTCAGATATTACAAATCTGGCCGTGAAGTTAATGACATGGAAGTCATATTAGACTATATCACCTTTTTTCTTTTTTTTTTTTTCCTTTTTGTGAAAGTACATGTTTTCTGAAATAATCTGTACTATGGCTTTTGAGATCTGGGGAAGCTGAGCTTACATTAAAGACTAGGGGGCAGAATATTCATCTCATAATAAGGTATGAAGAAAAGCCTTGCTAGAAGTCTGATGCCCAAGCTGTGCTGGTGAGACCTTGCTAGTCAATAGGGTAGTGAACTCTTCATTTACTTACCTTACTCATGGCACATATTTTGAAAAGTAATGCAATTAACCTGATCTAATTGAAGAAACTAAAAAAAAAAAGAAAAAGACTTAAGAGAAATCATGTGGAAGGGTTTTACTTTTCCTTTGTAGGTCTTTCTCAGATTCTTAGCATAGTCTCATAGCTGAAGATGAGGATAAATTTATTTTGCAGAGGCTGTGAGCTGTCAGCACAGCTTTAAAGGAAAAAAAGCCCAAATGAGCTTTTAATTTAGGTTGTTAATCTCAGGCTATTCATATAAGGAGAATTTCATTTGATGCACTTGTGAAAGGAGTAGCTGTGGTCAGACAGCCTGAGCTGGCTGGGAAATACGAGTGGCTTTGCATGGAGCTACATACAGGTGTGGTTTAACGGCTGTCTGTGTTTTAGCCATTGAGGGTTTTATTAGTTATTGTCTTTCCTGCCACAAATAAGAAAGTTTCTTTCCCTACTTCAAGGTTTCGTTGGCTGTGTTTTTGTGGGGCAGTGTGGGGAGGAAAGCCACAGCTCAGTGCAGTGGAAATGGAGGTGGCTCCTTTTAAGATAAAGCTGTGTTTACTTGAACATCTCACTCCAATGGCTCCCCCACCAAGGCTTCAGCACCCCCTGTGTCATTACCTGAAACACAGTTCATTAACTGAATGAGAATCCTTTCTCGTTATTGGGATCGGACCTATAACGAGCCAGGCACTGGCACAAGGGAATGCTGGCCATGGGTGGTTCATGTCATCAAAGACACCTTCTTCTGCTCTGCTCCCCTTCCCCTTCCTCCCCAACCCTCAATCGTGTGGATTTTCTTAAAGGATACAGATGACTTTGTCCTGCTTTCTGGTTTTCAGGCTTTTCATCAAAGAGCCAAGGATAATGAATAATTTATATCTGGTTCTGTTTTACGTAACCCTAATTTTACTTGCAAAACAGGTATGTATTTAAAAAGCAATAGGATTTTTCTTTTACTTGCAGCAAGTTGATTTAAATAAAATGCAAAAGTGTTTTTCATTGAAATTGTGCTCTAAATTAATTTTTTTTTAATATTCTTGTACTTAGTTGTAGATAATGTACTTACTGGTACTTAGCTGTAGATAATGCCAAAATTTTCTCTGTGAAAGGGTGGAAATATTTTTCAATAGTGTTTGTATTACAGAAGTCAGAACTTTCAAATTCTTCCAGTTTTGGTCTCTCTGTGTTTATATGACAATATCCATCTAAATCATGGCAGTAATTAAAGATACAAATAATCACTATATTATTAAAATGTAATTTTGGTAAATACACCTGCTGGTACCCAATTGGCAATTCATTTATACTGACTGCTTCATATTTTTGTGACCTTTGTTCTCAAAGTGCATGTTTCATAACTCTGTAGGCTCAAACGGCGTTGAAGAAGCTTTACTGCTACTACACTGTTGGAATAAACTGGCTGGTGTTTTTCAGGGAGATTTAATTTATCACATTTGGATTTAATTGGATTTAACTGATCACATTTGGTCCCTTTGCAGATTGACTATTACTGTCGACTGGACTGTCTGTGGAAGAATAAGTTCAAAAAAGAACACGAGCAGTTTGAGACGATGGAGAACGTTAACAGGCTCTTACTGGAAAACGTGCTTCCGGCACACGTTGCTGCCTATTTCATTGGGGAGAAGAGAAACGAGGTACGTTTGTTCCCTGCTGCCTGAGGAACAGTAAATGGGACTTGTGTGACACACAACATCGTAGACAAGCACGCAGAAAGCTTTCCTGGTCTGCCCTCTCTGCCTCTTGTCTGCATCCCAGGACCTTTGTAAGCCCAAGAATCTGCTACCCAGACGGCCTCAAAACATGCCAACTTTTAATGTCAGTCTCTGACACCTCTGCCCAGAATTGGTAGTTCGGCTTCAGGACACAGTTTGAGTTTAGCAAATATTTAAAAAGGATTTACTGCTTTCCAAAGGGCGTCTTTTACCAGAGAAGATTGGCCTTCTTTTTCAAGTGTTAGTTGAGGAACAGATAGTATCTCCTTGGTAACAGCCCCAGTGAGAAGTCCATTGATAACGATTTATTTCTTTTAAAGCCATCCATCTTATTCTGCCAGCACGACATCAGCATAAACACTGCTGATTTCCCAGCCATGAGCAGTGTCAGGAGACTGGCACCGTCTGGGATACACGAGATCTTTAAGATACACAGATATCCCAGCTTTTCCATAGGCAAATCAACTTCCCAGTGTTTCTGATGAAATAAGAGATTCCCACTGTGCTGTAGTTGACTTGGTAGGAAAATGTAATTTGGTTACTGGTTACAAACAACAGGCATTGTTTGGAATACGTGGTGGAAGGTGACCGCTGACAAGGTGTCACTGTATTGTTTTCCTGTAGGACTGGTACCATCAATCTTACGACTGTGTCTGCGTCATGTTTGCGTCCATACCGGATTTTAAGGTGTTTTATACTGAATGTGATGTCAATAAAGAAGGCCTGGAATGCTTGCGGCTGTTAAATGAAATCATTGCTGATTTTGATGAGGTAATTAAGCTTCTGGCAAAACTGAACTGGATTACACGTTTACTGCAAAATGAAGTTTTCAGTAGAGCTGTGAACGTTAGAGGGGGCGGGGGAAAAGGCTGCTGAGCTGAGCTAAAATTCTGAGTTCAGCCTCCCAGTCTTGAAAGATACGTTGACGTCTGATGGGGTTTTTCAGTTACATCATCTAATGCATTAGTGACATGGTTTGAAAGTCCTGAATTTCAGTACTTTATTTCAGTACTTCATCTTTCCTATGAGCAGGTAGAGCAAAAGTGTGAAACTACTCCTCAGTACTTCCTTACCTAACCTACACGTGACGGGATTCCTAGAGATGTTTAACGCTTATTGCAGTAGACACTGAAATATGGTATCAAAGCCTCAAGTTTCTATTTTCTTTCCCTTCAAACAGCTCTTGCTAAAACCTAAATTTAGTGGTGTTGAAAAAATCAAGACCATTGGAAGCACTTACATGGCGGCAGCCGGTCTCAGTGTTACGCCCGGCCAAGAGAACAACCAGGTAGGTTGGCTCTGGAATCTGCCTTGGTGTGTTTCAAAGTAACAGAATGTAATGGGGTACAAAAGAGAAAGTGAATCACCAAGAGTGACTTTCTGGATTGTTGGAAAAGATGATAAAACCAGGGCAAGAGAACAACCAGGTAGGTTGTCTTTGGAATCTGCCTTGGTGTGTTTCAAAGTAACAGAATGTAATGGGGTACAAAAGAGAAAGTGAATCACCAAGAGTGACTTTCTGGATTGTTGGAAAAGATGATAAAATTGTACTCTCTCCTGTTGAATTCACTGTTTATCTCGTAGTTCCATTTTTTTTTTTCCTAGGCAGGTATTAAGTCTGTAACCCCAGTGTACTTTTTACATCTTCTGTTGAATTCACTGTTTATCTTGTAGTTCCATTTTTTTCTTCCTAGGCAGGTATTGAGTCTGTAACCCCAGTGTACTTTTTACATCTTTACTCTTTGATTCCAGTAACTTAACATTTCTAGATGCGTTACAGAATAGCTCTAATAATAGGGAAGACAAAGACTGGCTGCCAAAGAAAAGGCCAGCTCAGAGCTGGACAAAGCTTTTTGTGATAAAACTGTTTATCACCCAGAGTAAAGTCTGTAACCCCAGTGTACTTTTTACATCTTTAATCTTTGATTCCAGTAACTTAACATTTCTAGATGCGTTACAGAATAGCTCTAATAATAGGGAAGACAAAGACTGGCTGCCAAAGAAAAGGCCAGCTCAGAGCTGGACAAAGCTTTTTGTGATAAAACTGTTTATCACCCAGAGTAATTAAAACCAATTTCCGTACTCAGGCTCATTTTCACTAGAGCAGGTTCAGGTACGACATTAGGATTAGGACACAAAACATGTAAAATTAAATCTGGAATCCTATAGGATAGACGTAAATTCATTATAAAATTTAATCGTATCATTCTTGTCACCTCCTAGCCATTCCAATTGAATTTAATATCATTTTTAAAATCCATTTGGGATGTTTGTTGAATTTGAATTTAATATCGTTTTTAAAATCCATTTGGGATGTTTGTTGAACTGTGCAATTCTGCACAGCTACAAGGATGAGTGGTCCCATCCCTATGAATACGTGCTTTATTCTCTGATAGTCCTGGGCTGGGATGGTAGCCTGAACTCAGCCTTCTGTGCTGTAATTTGATCATGGGTATGTGGTATGGGTTGCACAGGATAAGGAGAGGCAGCACGAGTGGTCCCATCCCTATGGATACGTGCTTTATTCACTGACAGTCCTGGGCTGGGCTGGTAGCCTGGACTCAGCCTTCTGTGTTGTAATTTGATCATGGATGGGTGTGTGATATGGGTTGCACAGGATAAGGAGAGGCAGCACGCTCACATTGGGATTATGGTGGAATATGGAATTGCCCTGATGAGTAAACTGGATGGAATCAACCGACATTCCTTCAACAACTTCCGCTTACGCGTGGGTGAGTTCAGCTGGGGACAGGGGTGAGCCCCGCAGCTCTGGGACACCAAGAACGGGGAAGGGTGACTTTGGGAGCCTTTCCCCAAGGGTTTGTAACCCTGGGGAGCCTTTGTAACCCTGAACCCAGTACTTGGCTGGTTATAAATGCCGAGCAGCTGGAGGTGGCCCTGTCTGGTCCAGCTTTTTAAATACACCCACCTCCTCCTCGGGTGGGCTTTCCTCATCACCAGGGGGAACAACACATGGAGTGCAGCTGGATGGGTCTGGAGAAGATGAAAGATGTGGATGAGAAGAGAAGTACCCTGTTATTAAGTGTAGACTAAAGACAGTATTGTCGTTATACAAATGTTTATTTCTATAAATTAAAAGTAGAAAAGGGAGAATTCTGCTTTGGCACAAACTGTGCTCTAGCTCTTTCTCAGACTTCCCATTTTAGGATGGATGAGTCACTTCACGTCTCCTGACCCTCAGCACTAGGATTTATAGAACAGTGGTAGCACCCGCTGCACGTGTTGCAGGGTTGCATTTTGGGCTTTTTCCCCCCCCCAAATCTCAAGATGTAATGACTAATGAACTAGTAAATAATGAAGCTAGATATCGCATAACTTCCTGCTTCAGTAGTGACCCCTGCCTTTGGTTATCCAGGGATAAACCATGGCCCTGTGATTGCTGGTGTGATCGGTGCCCGGAAGCCTCAGTACGATATTTGGGGCAACACTGTTAACGTTGCCAGCAGAATGGAGAGCACGGGGGAACTTGGGAAAATCCAGGTGAGCCTGTCAGCCTTGGAATGTCTAAGAAATTATTTCTTCTTGGTTTGGGATTTTTTTTTTTTTTTTAATGTGAATAACCAGAAGAGTTTCACAAGAGCATCTCATTCTTTTCCCACGAAGGTCACGGAAGAAACGAGTAAAATCCTGCAGGAGCTGGGATATTCCTGTGAATGTAGGGGACTCATTAATGTCAAAGGCAAGGGAGAGCTGAGGACTTACTTTGTTTGCACGGAGACTGCCAAATTCCAAGGTATGGGACTGAACTGAGGCTGGGATGAGGTTTATCAAAATAGACTTAGAACTGCCTCCCTTCTGTGAAGACTTCGAATTTCCCTCCTTATGTGAAGGACTTTATTCTAAAAACATATATATATTATTGCTATTTCTTCTACACCTCGAGAGAAGAGAATGTATTGGGTTTTTCTGAAAGAAGTTCTGAAAAGATCCAGGAAGACACCCAACCCCCCGTCTGAAGACGACTTACCCTTCCCTGAAATAGTTTGAGGATTTACCTGGAATTGCCATGAACCGTGTTCCCTTAGTTCCTTTCCTTCCTTGCTGTGGGGGAGCCTTCCCAGCTCCAGGAATGATGTCTGTGGAGGCGCTGCAGGTGCTGCAGAACTCCTTGCTGTGTTCACACCTCCCAGTGCTCCCGTCTGTGACACACTCCTGCTGACAGGATGGCCTGGTCACATGCCCGGGGCACGGCGCTCTGGGCACTGCAGGAGATGGCTGAACCATGGGAAGAGGAACGAAGTAAACTCCAATATATCATGTGCTAATTGTGCTGAGCTCCTTCGGGAACCAAAAACGGTATTAATTGCACGGTTTGGGATCACTCTTTTATTATCCTGGCCTCCTCCATAGCTGTATTACACAGATGTTGTCATGACCAGCAGCTGGTCAGAAACAACTTCATCTAGCTCAGAGCATTTACATCCTGGTACATCTCCCCTCTGTATTTCTGTGCCTCGGTGCTTGGTACCTGCGTGCACGTTCTGTACAGCCCCCTCAGAGGACGGCTTTAAAATCCTGCCTTTAAATTTCAAAAAACCAAACCCAATGTTGAGGGAGCACCCAGCTCCTGCAGTTTCTCCTGCCCGCCTGGTTGGCCAGGCTCTGGGAACAGCTGGTATCGCTGGCTGCCTTCGGCAGGGCACTTAGGGAAGAAAAAAATAATCTGTTTCAAATTGTTTGGAAACAGAAGAACAGAACTACTGAGATAGTATTAGAGACAGTAGCAGATACTGTATAAGCAGAACTGCATCTGAGGTGGGGTTGGGGTTGGTTTTTTGCCATTCTTGTTTCTTCAATGTGACCGGCCACTGGCTGTTTCTGCCTTTTAGAGACAATGCAGTTTATGAAACAAACGGGGTTTGAAGGTTATGAAAGGATGTGTGGAAAAAACATATTCCTGGTGGAAATGTTCCAGCAGAGGCTCAATACTGAGAGTAGGCAATTAGTAACATCATGGGAAGTGACTTGCTGTGAGTTAATTCAGTTTTGTAAAGTTTTTAAGCTCTTAATGACTTTTGCTCATTTCTAAAGTAGCATTTTTCTACTTACTGCAGTCTGTTTTCTGTTGGTGGAGATGCCAGAGGTGAGTGAGGGGAACATCCTGTCCCCCTGCATTAACCCAGGATGGGTTCCCCCTCCCCAACGCACCGTGTCAGATGGCTGAATGGTGCAGTGATTAACGAGCTCACCATCTGGGCAGTGGTGAGTGAGGGGAACATCCTGTCCCCCCTTCCCTGCATTAACTGAGGGTGGGTTCCCCCTCCCCAACGCACCATGTCAGATGACTGGTGCAGTGATTAACGAGCTCACCATCTGGTTTGTTAAGTCTTCTACAAAACAAGCAGCTTTTACTAATATTTCTGGGTTTAGTACTAAACCACACTGGCAAAGTGTTTAACGAGCAGTCCTGTGCATCACTGCCGCTTTCCTAATTACTGTGTAATTTCTTTAGACGATGAAGTGACTATGTTTCAAGACAGGAACAAATCTAAATATTGTCCAGCCGTGGATTAAAAATCGTGCTTATAGCCTTTGTCAATTCGCTATGTCAGAACTGTGTGTGTAATTAAGTCTCCAACAGGAAATAGCACGTTAGAAAACCTTCATTTGAGGTTGTTTGGTTCGTGTAGGGACTCTGCTGAAGAAGGAAGCTCCACACTTGGTGTCCTGTCAGTCTGAGGTCAGTGTTGTAGTTGAATAAACTTTCAAACAGCTTTTGCTACTCTTGTATGTTGTATATTTGTAGTAACGGATGCTCATTTGTTTTGAGATTTTTATTTATTGTTTTATAAGGACCGTGCCTGTGTCAAAGGCTCCTCTCAGCAGCCTTTGATGCCCCGTGTTAGGGAAAGGGACTACCTGCCTCCTGAATATAGTCTGGAAAGCACATCATGCCTTGGACAGAGCTGGCTCTGCAGGGTCTCTGCTCACAGACTGGTAGAACGCAGCTGTGAGTCCTCTAGGAAAGAAAACTCCCTGTCTAACAGCATTTGGAAATGCTTTTGTTTACATTATGTTGCCTCTTGGGTTGGTAGCTGGCTTGGGTGTAACCTCCACTGACCCCGCTTCCAGCAGCGGTGCAGGGGCTGCAGCTGCCACACTGGAAGGAGGAGGGTTTGCTGCCGTTCCTTGTGCCATGAAAACAGGGTTCTACCTGAGGGTGACTTTCTAATTTCTCAGCAGAACTGGGACTGTAGAATGAGAGAGCTATATTCAACCACAAAAAGTTCCATTTAAGAAGCAACTGTGTTTAAAGACTTGTTTTCAGCAGTCCTTCCGAGAGCGAACTGTGAAATTTAAAATGAGGAAATAACCTTGTTAGAAAAATCTTTCCTACAGCATTATTGTTAAACTGAAAAAAAATGGCACTGTATCAAATTTTGAAGAGCTAATAACGTCTTGAATTAGCAATCTATTTTAAAGAACAAACTTTTGTTTTTACTCGTAAAATAAAAAAAAAAGCTTCCTGAAACTTGTTTGGTTTTGTAGTTATTTTGATGAAGACTCTGAGGAAAAGGAGGTGCATTTCCTATACTCCCTATAGAGTTAGTGAGTTTGGTTTTACTCATAAACTTGGTGTTTCTGTAAGTAGGAAACCCCCAGAGTGAGGTACTTGTGTTCAATGGCTGAAGAGTAACGTTTTGTGTCCCCTTCCTGTGCCGTGCCAGAGGTAAGGGCTGGGAGAGGAGAAGCTCCAGATGAGCCCACCACAGTTGGGCTGGCCCAGTGGCTGTGCATCTTGTCTGCTCCTGTACCACAGAAATGACTTAAATATTAACAGAAAAAAATTCATTCCCTGGAGTGGTCTTTCAGCTGCAATTACCTACAGCTGTGAAAAAATTCTAGTTGGGGACTTTATTAGAATTATTCTGGGAGAACTGAATCTACTGGAGAAAAATCCGGGGTGACAGTTCAAGCTTTGTGGAATGAATTTTAAGAATGGTGAAAGTTAAAAGGGAACTGACTTTCAACCCGAGGAATTCTCCAAATGTGCTCTCCTTCCTGCTAACGAGCCTGCACTCGTTACCCGGTAGTGTTCAGTCATCCCTCCGGGTCAGAACTGTCCCTGGGGGTGTCTCGGGGCCGCCTGTACTGCCCATTACCGCAGCAGTGTTACTGCCTGGCAGCAGCCTGGGTTTGTTACTCTCTCCTTACAGTCACCGTCCCTTCCTAAGCTTGCCCTCCAGATTTAGAACACTCTGAGTGGATGGTTTTGGTTCTCCAAGAAGAGATTCATCCACGCTCAAAGTCCCACAAAGCTGATTTTTGGTTAATTCACCAGGCTACATCACATTTATTTAAAAAGTTTATTTCTCTTCCTCACGATGGTAAGAGTCACACAGTGATTTTAAAAAGGGAAACTTGAATGTTCCACGTACTGATGATTTTTGCCCCAACCAGGTTCAGACACAGAGTCTATATGTTGCTTCCAGAAACCTTTGGTTGAGTCCCCGCACCGCCCAGAGGCGCGGTTTCACTTCGGCTTTGAATTTTCCAGACCCTTAAGGATCCAGGAAACCTTAAAAGCTGCAGAGGGGCTTCAAAATAATATGGAATGTAAAAGGAATAATTTAGTGCATTTGTGTAGCGGAAGGAACTCTAATACAAACCATTCGCTTTCGAATGTCATCTTCAGTTCCAAAATTTAATAACCAAAAGCAGTTTAACACACAATATACACAGAATATGCTGGGTGACTGCACCTGCAGCAAGTCCATCTGGTTCTTCAATAGAATCAAAGACCCAGCTGTAAACGTTACCGGAGCCTCAGACTGTGACGGGACCACACTCGCTTTCGGGGACAACTGCCGTCTTTTTAGGTTCTTGAAAATCTGGAAGTTTCCAAGAGAGAGGAGGTCAATGAGCAGAGAGAACTCGTGACTGGAAGAAACACACACACAATGGGATCACTCCCGGAGGTGCAGCCAGCCCCGGGTGAGCTGTGTGCTCTGGGAGGGCCCAGGGAAAGGTGATGGTTCAGTTGGGTCTGTCCCACAGCATCCCTCGCGCGGCGCTACGAAAAAGAAACTGCTCCATAATTTTAAAATTGAGATTTCTTGAGTGGTTTCCTTCAAAAGGTAAGTCCCTGAGGTCATCCTGCTCTTTTTATTAAATAACAACTTCACTGAAATTTTTCATAAATGTTTCTAAACTTTATAAACTTTTTATTTACATTTCTTGCAAGGAAATTCGTACCTGCCTTAAAACTGGGGACAAGCACAAGCTCTGGGTGCGCTTTTACCGCTGGTGCCGCCAGGGGGAGGCTGCTTCTGGCACTTCAGATTTCTTTCTTTCTTTTTTTTCCACTGACCCAACTCCTTAATCCACCCAAACCAGGAGCTGCTTTGGGCTGGGTGAGCCGAGCCCCGCGGGGGCTGTGGGGTACGAACGCTCCAGCCGCCACAGCGAGCACAGGGAGCACTTGGCCACCAGCTCGGAGAAGGAGGAAGCCCCTGTGTCCTGCCTTGAGCAAGTGAGGAGTTTGAACTCTCCTCTCCTAACATCATGCTGAACGGAAAAACTAAACTAGAAGTTTAGGCCTGGCTTTAAGCTTTGGGCTGGGTGAGCCGAGCCCCGCGGGGGCTGTGGGGTACGAACGCTCCAGCCGCCACAGCGAGCACAGGGAGCACTTGGCCACCAGCTCGGAGAAGGAGGAAGCCCCTGTGTCCTGCCTTGAGCAAGTGAGGAGTTTGAACTCTCCTCTCCTAACATCATGCTGAACGGAAAAACTAAACTAGAAGTTTAGGCCTGGCTTTAAGATTTGGCAGCGCTGCAAGGGGGATGGTAAAATATCTCCTTTCTGCAGCTGACCCAAAGCTCCGAGACCAAACACAGCAACTCTCTCCATCAGGAACAGAAGTTTCAAAAAGGGGAGAAGAACTGAAAAACTGGAGCCACTGCAAGCTCTACCCTGAGGCGGCGCAACGGTTTGCAGGTGTGGTTTTGCCTCAGTTGAATAGACACTGCAAGATATATATACATATATATACATATATATAAAAAATATATGTATTTGTGTGTACTCACCCTCTGTCAGATCCACCCAGCTCTCCTCCGCGTCAGGTACAGGGACTGAAATCCCCATGGCCTTCCGGATGCCGTAGGTACTGACAATGTCACCCGGAGTCACTTGTTGTGCAAGTTCTTTCAGGTTATTGGTTACTCTCTCAGCTAGAAAAGATAAGGGGGTGTGTTTATATCCTATATATACACTCAAAATCACTGAAAATGAGCCCTTCACCCTGTCAACAGGTTTTTTGAAGTACAAGTGGCCTCAAGTCACACCAGGGGAGGTTCAGATTGGATATTAGGAACAATTTTTATGCTGAAAGGGTTCTTAAGCCTTGGACTGGGCTGCCCAGGGAAGGGGTTGAGGCACCATCCCTGGAGGGATTTAAGAGATGGGTTGACACAGTGCTCAGAGACATGGTTTAGTGATGGTTTTTATCAGAGTGAGGTTGATGGTTGGACTAGAAAGGTGTTACTTGGTCTGGTTCAGACTGTGTAATACCCACTCGGTAGCGTTTCTGCAGAAAGGGGAATTTATCTTCTCACAGGGCAGGGGTCGTGTTAGACCCCGTGTGCCCCAGCAGATGTTGCACACGTGTGAGTTGCACAACAGCCACCCCCTGCACTGTCCTGTCTCAGAAGGCTGCCTTGAACACTGGCTGTGGAACTGCCTGGGAGACAAGAAGCTTTGCTCAAATTATTACAGAATGTATGATTGGTGTTAATTGGTTTAATAAAATAGGTGATAACTAGATCAAACCCAGACTAAAGCTAATCTTACAGTAAGAACTTGGTAATGCTTAAGCAGCCCCTGCTGAAAGACACTAAAGATCTTGGAGTTCAAGGTGTTCGGTTATTGTCTGCCCCGTGGCACAGAGAAAGCTCCCAGTCAGTTCTAGGAAAATTTAATAATAGAGAGGAAATACTTGTAATTACTGTTCAAAACTGTCACCTGGCTTTACGTACAACAAAAAATTTAAATTACTGTTCTGTACTGTAACTGTTAAACCTTTGTCTGTCTCGGAGTTGATAAAAGTTGGGATGTGATCAGTTCTGCCAGAGCGATGACAAAATGTGTATTTACCCAAGTGCATC